AGTGGGTCAGAGCTCCCGCAGGTGGGGAGCCAGGCCCGAGATGGTCAGAGCTCCCGCAGGTGGGGAGCCAGGACCGAGATGGTCAGAGCTCCCGCAGGTGGGGAGCCGAGGACCGAGGCGCTCAGAGCTCCCACAAGTGGGGAGCCAAAGACCGAGGTGCTCAGAGCTTCCTTAGAGTAACCCTTTGCAATGATTGATCAGAGCATTTCACGTTGCACCTGCATAATTTTATACACCTGCTTATTATGGTATTCTGTTAGGGGTCTCCATAGCAGTGCATTAGGAAATGGTTAAAATGCTTGTTCCAATGCAGTTTTCTAGAATAAGCCTGACTGAGTCCTAAATGAGTTGCCAGTGGTCTTTTTAACGGTGTGGCAAGTAGGTGGTCCTGCGTGTGCCTATCCCAGCTGGCAGTGGCATCAGTACTCCCTGCTGAGAAGGACCCGGGCCACGCGGGGTGGCCATGCCCTGCAGTGCATGCACTAGGAGTGAGGGAAGGTGGGGCTGGGAGCTGTTTATGTACTCTCCTTATGAACAGACTTAGCTCCTGAGCGGCAGGAGAGAGGACTTGAGCTTTGCCGTAAGGTGCGTGTGCTCACGGTGGGAGAGAAATGAAGGGAGGTGAGAATTCTCCCCCGGGGAAGCCACGCCGCAGGCCCTCCTCCGCGTTTTCTCGGGCTTTGGGCCTGCCGACACACGTGCGTAACGTGATTTTCAAGCCACCAGGTCTGGGACGCAAACCGCTGTCACCCATGTGGGATCCAGCCACCTTAACCACTGTGCCCCCTGCTAGTCTGACAAAAAGATGCTTTAGGAATGTCTTAATTTTTACTATAAATGATGACATTTGGGGAAAAAAAAAAACAGGAAAGGAAAGTGGGCCTTTATTACACAACTATTTTTTTTATTTTAGTAAGCTGCTTAAGTTTGGATTAAAGCCATCTATCAACTACTACCATGTAAGTCTTGCTTTTAGCTTCTTGAATAACGCGTATCTACTGTCATTTCGTCCTGAGAGCTGCATTGGGTGTGTGTGTCTGTCTGGGTGTCGCTGTCACAGTCCCCTCCCGTAGCAGAGGCCTTAGGCACAGACCATGTGCCAGCTCTCAGGTGGGGTCTCCCTATGCTCTCTGTAGGCCGTGGCACTGGAGTGCACTCAGCTCTCTGACGGGCTGGGAATTGAACCGGCACCTCCCGGTTGGCCCTGCTTGCTCAGCAGCCACCTTCATGGTTGCTCCTGCAGCTGGTTGAGTTTGAAGTGGCCCAGCCCCCCAGCTTTCCTGTTTTAAGTGGATCTTAGCTAAATGTTGTTTACCTGGCATAGCCAAGTGCAGACCAAGGCCACCTGTGTCACACCGGCAGGGACTTGCCACATCTTCTCAAGAGAAAAAGGGAAGTTGATTGCGCAAGAGTGCCCAGGGTCCGAAGCCGGAGGTGCGTCAGCCTGCCTGCCAGGAAAGAGAAGGGCCTTTCAGGGGCAGCTCATGGGCTGACGCACCGTGTGGCGGCGTGCCAGGCTCCGCGGCGTCTGCACTGCAGGCGCCCTGTGGTTTGCTGTATTGGGGCCGTCGGACCCTGCACTTTCCATGTCCCTGTGTGATAGTTTTTGGGGCAGGGTGACCTGACAACTTGGGCCAGTGGTTTTGAAGCCAGATTTAAGGCCCCCAGGCAAGAGTTGTGTGTCCCAGGTTCTGGGGAGCAGGTAGAATGTGCAGTTTGAGAAAAGATAGTCTTTTTTTTTTTTTTTTTTTTTAAGAGAGATTTTTCACTATTGGGCACGTGCTCACAGAAAGAGAGAAAGTGAGAAAGAAGCCTCCTCCCGGGGAGGACGGCCACACTGCAGTCACACTGCAGTCTCCTCTCCATTCCCGTCTTGGGATTTTGAGCACACGCACATATGCCCAGCGCGAGTTTCAAGCCACTGGGTCTGGACTAGCACCGCAGTCAGCCATGTGGAAGTCCAGCACCATAACCACTGAGCCGAATGCTCTGTCCAGCAGTCACCGAAACACACTGAGAGCCGAGTTGAGAGGAAGAGGCCATACCAGGGACGTGCCTGGCCTCTCTCCTAAATATGTATTTAGGCAAAAGAGAAACAAAAGTTCTTTTTAGAGGAAGTTTTCTTTAGAGGATTAGAAAGGTAAGGGTTATTCCTGGAACGGAGATTTCATATCGATAAGGGGGCTATGACTGAACGAGGCCAAAGGCTGGACAGCGCAGGCTGATTCGAGCTCGTCCATCAGGTTGCACCCCCACCGAATCACCTGCCGCCCTTTCGGGCAGGAGGCAGGGAGCTCGGGCGCTTTAGCCCTGTCCCTGCAGTCACCCGTTCAGTCCTTAACCCGGAGCGGTTGTAGAGCGTGGTGTTTCTACCGCTCCCAGCATTGCGCCACCTGCTGGCCCCAGGCACATTCAATTGCATAATATAATGTCCTGTTGCTTCTGTTTTCATGATAAAAACGGATTTGTTCCATAAAACTATATGCGCAACTGTAGAAATGTATGCAGGACCAAGTCTTAGTGGCTAGTGAAAATATGCACAAGTAGCTGTTTCCCACCCCAGTGTGTGTCTCTGTAAATAAGCGTGCCTGGCGCAGAGCCAGGCCCATCCCACAAGTCATCCGCAGTGCGCTCTGTGGCAGAGCGAGTGGGCGCAGAGCCGAACAGTGGCCCGGCCACCCACAGAGCCTGGACCTTCCCTCTCCGGCCCTCTCTGGAGAAGGCCTGCAGCCGGCTGCCTCAGGAGCTGCAGAGATCCTTGGAGACAGTCTGTGTTTACTGTAGGGTGTGGGTTTCAGAGGTCGCCGATTCTAGTGGTTCTGGGGTCTAGGGTCATGGCTGGACGTGGTCCCCACCGCCACTGCAGCGCTATCCGCATGGGCCCTATGCCCTCAGGACCTGTTGGGAGAGGAGGGGTGTGTGTGCCCAGAGGCCGGTGGTTGGGATTGGCGTGAAGCAGCAGCCGGCCCATGCCCCTGAGCTGTGCACGGTGGCAGGCCCTTGGCACAGGCGTGGCCCAGTGGGCGGCTGGAGGGCCCATGCTCTGCAGGGTTGGCGTGTCAGGCTTTCCACTCTGGCATCCCATGCCCAGGCCTGCCGCTTGCCCATGTCATGGGGAAACCGGTGCCACTGCGGAGGTGAGGCGTCACTGGGGAGCAGACAGGCAGGGCCGAAGGGTCCCTGGAGCAGCAGTGAGCAGGGAGTTTGCCCTTTAGGGCCCAGTGTTGGGGGTAGCAGGGCTTCTGTGAGGGTTATTCACTGTGGGGTGGGGTGGCGGGACTGAGACACAGCACTCAGTCAGCGAGGGTGGCCATGGGAGGTGGGGCTTCAGACGAGACTGCTCTGGAGGAGAGAGGCGGGCTGCTGCCGGTGCCAATGCAAGAGCAGGGCTTGCGGGGAGGGCACCGCAGGGGAAGGTGGCCGGTGGGCAGGGGCCCGGGTCGGCCGTGTCCTCGCCTCCGGGACGGGGCTTCATTCCCACACAGTGGTCTGAGTCTGTCTGCAAGCCAAGGGAGCCAGCAGAACTGGAGTTGTGAGCTGTGTGTGTGTGTGCTGGGAGCTGTGTGTGTGTGTTGTGAGCTGTGTGTGTGTGCTGGGAGCTGTGTGTGTGTGTGCTGTGAGCTGTGTGTGTGTGTGCTGGGAGCTCTGTGTGTGTGTGTATGTGTGTGCTGTGAGCTGTGTGTGCTGTGAGCTGTGTGTGCTGTGAGCTGTGTGTGTGTGCTGGGAGCTATGTGCTATATGCTGGGAACTGTGTGTGTGCTGTGTCCTGGGAGCTGTGTGTGTGCTGGGAGCTATGTGTGCACTGTGAGCTGTGTGTATGTGTGTGTGCTGTATGCTGGGAGCTGTGTGTGCGCTGTGTGCTGGGAGCTGTGTGTGTGTGCATGCTTTGAGCTATATATGTGCTGGGAGCTGTGTGTGTGTATGTGTGTGTGTGTGCTCTGCTGGGAGCTGTGTGTGCTGGGAGCTGTGTGTGTTCTGGGAGCTGTGTGTGTGTGTGCATGCTTTGAGCTATATATGTGCTGGGAGCTGTGTGTGTGTATGTGTGTGTGTGTGCTCTGCTGGGAGCTGTGTGTGCTGGGAGCTGTGTGTGTTCTGGGAGCTGTATGTGTGTGTGCATGCTTTGAGCTATATATGTGCTGGGAGCTGTGTGTGTGTATGTGTGTGTGTGTGCTCTGCTGGGAGCTGTGTGTGCTGGGAGCTGTGTGTGTTCTGGGAGCTGTATGTGTGTGTGCATGCTTTGAGCTATATATGTGCTGGGAGCTGTGTGTGTGTATGTGTGTGTGTGTGCTCTGCTGGGAGCTGTGTGTGCTGGGAGCTGTGTGTGTTCTGGGAGCTGTATGTGTGTGTGCATGCTTTGAGCTATATATGTGCTGGGAGCTGTGTGTGTGTATGTGTGTGTGTGTGCTCTGCTGGGAGCTGTGTGTGCTGGGAGCTGTGTGTGTTCTGGGAGCTGTATGTGTGTGTGCATGCTTTGAGCTATATATGTGCTGGGAGCTGTGTGTGTGTATGTGTGTGTGTGTGCTCTGCTGGGAGCTGTGTGTGCTGGGAGCTGTGTGTGTTCTAGCTGTGTGTGTGTCTGTGTGTGTGTGCTCTGTGCTGGGAGCTGTGTGTGGGCTGGGAACTGTGTGTGTGTGCATGCTTTGAGCTGTATGTGTGCTGTGAGCTATACCTGTGTGTGCTGTGTGTGTGCTATGAGCTGTGTGCATGTGTACGTGTGTGTGTGTGTGTGTGTGAGGGTCACCTCTGCAAAGACCAGACCGTTAGACTTGTTTCCTTCGAAGTCCCACTTCTAATGCAGTTTTTTCTAATGGCAGATTCTAGATTTTAAAGACGCCCTTACCAGAGTGTATGGAGTTATACCGAAAATCCAGTGTCTTCCGCCAGAGCAGGTCAGATGTGCCGGGTTTTTGTCACCTTTCCCGTCTTTCTCAAGAGGTCATTCTGCTTCCCTGACACTGTCCTCCCATGGAATTTCCAGGGGCAGAGTTGCATTTTCACTCTGTGTGTGTATGTGTGAACAAGTACATGTGTGCACTCATGTGCGAGGGTGTCTGTGTTCATGTTTGTGCTGTGCGTTCACATGTCTCTGTGTGTACTTGTGTGTTTGTGTGTCCAGGCATGTGTGCACACTAGTGTATACATGTGCAACTGTGTGCACACATATCTGTGTATGCATATCCAGGGCTGTGTGTGTGTGTGTGTGTGCGGGCGTGTGCCATGTGTGGGTTTTGACAGCAGGTGTGTCAGGAGAGGGACGGGAAAGAGGAGGTGGGTAGTGCTGCAGTGGGGCTGCCAGGTGTCCCAGGCTGGCCAGCCTCACGTCCCTCGGGTCTGGGTCCGACTTGCAGCTGTGCGCGTTCCCTGTCGGCTGGACGCCGTGGCCAAGGCACTGCCACCACAGAGCCGTCTCCCGCCGGGCCGGTGAGCAGCCGTGGCTGTGCAGATTTTCCCAGACGCCAGGTGGTTAGCATTTCCTAAGTCAAAAGCAGCTCCCTGGGTGGCATGGTGCTTAAGACACTGGATTCCCACAGACTGACCACAGTTCGAGTCCTGGACTCAGCAGCTTGAAAGTCGGGCTGGGAGTGCGTGCGTGTCCAGACTTCTGAAGGGAGAATGGAGAAGGGACTGTGGCTTGGCCGTGCCTTCTGGGGGGTGATCTCTCACTTTCCCTCCCTGTCTTTCTCTGCTTCTCTCTGGCGCACACGCACCCTGTGGCAAAAACCTGGGGAACAATAAAAGAGCGTCCCTCCCACAGAGCTGCTGACTGGCCTGGGCAGGTGTCCGGTGAGGGCTGGTGATCGGGGCTCAGGCTGAGCTCCACTGTCACAGCCGAGTCACACTGGGCCCCTGCTCGGACCTGGAGCGTCTCCACTTCATCTCCAGGGGGAAGACGTGCAGACCATCGGCCAGATAGAGCTGTGCCTCACCAAGGAGGACCAGCGTCTGCGCAACTGCACCGAGCCGGGGGAGCGGCCGGCGGGTGTGGCAGCCCAGGGCCGGGAGCTGGCGGTCTGTGAAGACGGCCCGGTGTTTTACCCCCCGCCCAGGAGGGCCTGGCACGGACAAAAGCAAGGCAAACCCACTGTGCTGTGAAAAACTCCCGGAGTAAAGCCACCCTGCTGTGTAGAACTCTGGAGTAAAATCGCACATCCGTAGCTGTCTGACGGCGAGCTTCTGTTTGATTGGTGTTTTCTTCAGCGTCTGAGCTGATTTCTGTGGAAGAGGGACGAGCGTGTGCACACACAGGCAGGCGCCCCCACCCTGCACCCCGCACCCCACACCCCGCACTGCTGTCTCGTGGTAAACACGCTCTTCGTCCTGCGTCCCGGAGCTCTTCTGCAGCGAGGTGGTCGGGCAGGTGCCCTGGGACCTGGGCCAAGGGGCCCGGCTCAGCTGTCCCTAGCCTGCGTCTTCCTCCCAGGGCTTCACGTCCACAGTGTGGCGAGCTGGCCAGGACCCCTGCTCGCCTCGGAGCCTGGCCAGTGTCCAAGGCGGTGTCTCCTGCTTAGCTCAAGGGTCAACCACACGGCCAGAACTCCAGGACACAACCCTGTTGCCAGCTTCTCCCGTGCTGATGGCCTGGTGTGGTCACGGACGTGTCCCTGGAGGGTCCTCTCACCCTGAGGGTGTCCAGTGACCGCACCTGGCTCTAGACTGTCCAGCTGGTACTCATGGCAGCCAGCCATCGGGCCCGGTCGGCTGTACACCCCCAGTTGTCGGGCCCGGGCATCCGTTTCTGTGAGTCTCTTCCTCCAGCTGGAGACCCACAGGCTTTCGCCCCCTCTGTCAGCAGGGAGCCAGATTCGGGCCACCCATTTGTCAGAAACTGACGTGAGCCTCACGCACATGGCGAGCCCTCGGGCGCCCCTTCCCTTACATGTGTGAATGCTGCCAAAGTGTCCCTGTGCGGGAGGACACCTGAGGTCTGCCACTCAGGGCTCCCCACCAGAGCCACCGTGTAGTGGCAGGTTCACCTGCTCTCTGCTCTTTGTAAATCTTGTTTCTGTTTGTCTTCATCAGAATATTATTATTATTTCTTTCATTTAACAAACACTTAAACTAGAACCAGCATGTAGCGTGTGGTTAAGGGGCTGGATCCCACATGGCCACCTGTGCCATTTGACTCTCAGAGTTGGCAGCTTCAAAAACATGCCAGGCATGTGTGCTTGTGTGCCCAAAATCCCAAGAGGAGAGGGGAGAAGGGATCGCCACACGGCCTTCCCCCAGAGGTGGTCTCTCACTCTCTTTCTCTCTGCCCTGTGTCTCCAGTGAGTACGTGCACTCTGTAACAAACTTAAAAAAAACTTACTATATTCTAGGCGTGTGTTAGCGCTTTGGAATATTTATGTATTTAATCCTTAGAACAGCCATGTTTTCTGAATAGTCAGATCTGTAGAAGCAACAGTGCGCGAGTTAGTACGTGTGCTTATGTCAGGGTGGTGAGGACGATGCCGTCCCACATGCCCACAGCCAGGAAGCAGGTCTGGCTGCCCTGGCGCACGGTGGTCAGCACTGCGCTGAGAAAGCTGATCCCACGTGACTGACTGCGGGCCCAACCCTGGCCTGGTGGCTTGAGAGGCCTGCCGGGTGCACAGGTGCCCCAAGTTGTGGGGATGGGTTTCTGTCTCCCTGGTGAACACACATGCCCCCTGGCCAGTCCAAAAGAGAAAGCAGGAGTGGTGTCGCAGTCTCTCCGTCCCGACCAGGGTGGATTCGAACCCCCACCGCGTTAACAGAGACCAGTAGGTCCTGCAGACAGATCGCGGGGCGTCGTTGGGTAGATCCAAAGCCGTACCTTCGTCTTCCTTTAGGACAGGGAGCTTGCTTCCCCGATGCTGTAGGGAGCCCAGTGTGGCCGAAGGCGCCACCGTCCCCACCTCGTCTTGGCCCCTCGCCCGCGCCCTGTCCCTTTGCCCCTTCCCTGAGCTTTCTGTCTCCGTGTTCCTCATGGGCTCGCCAGCCCCGGGCTATGCTCCTCTGCACGGCTGTGCTGAGAGTTTGGGAACGGGGACAGGGCTGCGTGCCCCGGCTGGCCTGCACGCTGTCCCTCGTGATGGCTCACCCCTCAGAGCCATGTGAGAGGCTGCCATTCCCTCTGAGTCACGCTGCAGATGACCTCAGCTGAGTTTGCAGCTCTGCTGTTTCCAGCCGAGCCTGCGGACTTGAACAGACTTCATTCAAACTGCATCTGTTTTACAGCCAGGGGTGGGGGTGTCAAGGAACGCAGTGGAGGGTCACGATGGCCAGACACGCTGTTGGAAATCTGCCTCATTTTAGATTTTTGCCACAGGACATGTGCATTTGCCTGGAGAGAGACAGAGATAGAGACAGTGACAGTGAGAGGGAGAGGGAGAGAGAGAAATCCCCAGGGGATGGCCACGCCACAATCCCTTCTCCATTACCTTCCTGGGGTCTTGGGCACACATGCATATACGCCCAGCGTGATTTTCAAGGCATCAGGCCTAGGAATCGAACTGCAGTCGGCCATGTGAGAGTCGAGCGATGTAACCACTATGCCATCTGCTGGCCCCTGCCTCGATGTTTTTAAAGCAAGCCTTTAAGAAGTAGGGCATGTCTGTTACTCTGCCAGCCTGGGCATTTCCTGGGTGTAGACAGGGCTCTAGGAGGGCGGCCCCTCGGCAGAGTGCAGGGTGGAGCATGGTGGGGTACCACTGCTGTGCACTTCGTCCTGTGAGGGGTACAGCTGCCGTGCGCCTCGTCCTGTGAGGGGTACAGCTGCCATGCGCCTCGTCCCATGAGGGGTACAGCTGCCAGGAGCCTCGTCCCGTGAGGGGTACAGCTGCCGTGCGCCTCATCCCGTGAGGGGTACAGCTGCCGTGCGCCTCGTCCCCGGCGTGGTCTAACGGTGAGTGTGTGACTTCCGGGCCAGGAGCTCAGTAGCAGGTCGGAAGTGAGTGTCCCAGAACCGGGTCAGATCCCACAGGGACAGGCACCTGGTGAGAGACTGGGAGGACTTCTCATGGGCGTCTGGCTGAGGGGCCCAGCACGCGTTTCACTCAGTGGGCAAGTAGGTTGCAGCTGGGTGAGGCCAGAGCGCTACCACAGTTAGGGGAGGCCGCCCCAGGCCAGTGAGCTGAGCTGGGGACGGGGTGTGTGTGTGTGTGTGTGTGTGTGTGTGTGCGCGCGTGCGCGTGCGCGCCCAGCTGGACGGGATCTGTCTGCCATGATGTCACAGAAGAAGCCAGTGAGCTGAGCTGGGGGCGGGGTGTGTGTGTGTGTGTGTGCGCGCGTGCGCGTGCGCGCCCAGCTGGACGGGATCTGTCTGCCATGATGTCACAGAAGAAGCCAGTGAGCTGAGCTGGGGGCGGGGTGTGTGTGTGTGTGTGTGCGCGCGTGCGCGTGCGCGCCCAGCTGGACGGGATCTGTCTGCCATGATGTCACAGAAGAAGCCAGTGAGCTGAGCTGGGGACGGGGTGTGTGTGCGCGCGCGCCCAGCTGGGCGGGGTCTGTCTGCCATGATGTCACAGAAGAAGCCAGTGAGCGAGCCCTGGAAGGTGCAGAAGCTGGTGTGGGACGACAGGAAGCCACCACAACAGCAAGGGGAGAGGTTGTCCCCACCAAACCCACGGCCAGCCCTTGGCCACTGCAGCCCGGGCCACTAGAGCCCCCGCTGCCCTGAAGGGCACCAGAGCTTCCCCGAGGACACTGGGCCTCCCTGGCAGGCAGGGGCCGTGTCGTCACTGAGAGTGTGTCACTGTCATTAGGTGGTGAGTCTCACTCTGAGTGAGGTTCCGTGGTCTCTCCTCGAACCCCCTGACAGCAGGGGCACAGTGATGTCACCGCCACTCTGCTCCGGTCGAGATCTAAGGTCACCATGGAGCTGCACATCCCACCGCAGCCACCAAAGGCACTTCTCCTTTTAAGGTCTAGCCATAGGGTGCGTGTGCTTGCTAGAGAGACAGGGGAGAGAAATCACCCCAGGGTGCTGCAGCCCCTTCTCCACTCTCCTGGGGTTTGGGGCACACTCACGCCTGGCGTGATTTTCGGCAGGTCTGGGACTTGAACCGCGCTCTCCATGTAGGAACCCAGTGCCTTAACCACCACGCCACCTGCTGGTCCCTAGCAAAGGCACTTCTTAGTTCCTGCTCTCCCCACTGCTGGCCTGGCCAGCCGTTGCCAGTCGGGAGAGCTGCATGTCAGGTGGCCAACACTCCTGTCCTGGCCTGCCGGCAGCCCCGCCCCATTCTGGGGCGGCAGGTCAGAGACTGTCCACTCAATGGCAGCGGGTGTGTTGGCGCTGCCCACCTGCTCTCCAGGCTCTGCTCTGTGCTCTCCGGACCCTGGGTGGCGCTCCACTCACCGGGCTGAGCAACCTCCGTTTCTACTTCCTGCCCGGCCTGCTGCAGACCTGCTCCACCTCAGCACTCAGGAACCGGCCAGCTCTGTCATGGCAGCACCTGCCACACTGCGGTGCCGGTCAGGGGTGTGCACCTGCCCTTCCTTAAACGAGGAGCTTCTTACTGACCCGTCGACATGCATCGCACTTGCTGAGAGCCGGCCTCGTGGGGACCAGCGGCGAGCAAGTGGCTGAGAGCCGGCCAGCCTCTCGTGGGGACCAGCAGTGAGCAGGTGGCTGAGAGCCGGCCATGTGGGGACCAGCAGTGAGCAGGTGGCTGAGAGTCGGCCTCATGGGGACCAGCGGCAAGCAGGTGGTTGAGAGCCTCTCCTCCCGGAGCTTCTGTTCTGGTAGTGACAGGGACAGAGGTACGTAAATACTGAGCATAGGGCAGGGCACCTGCTGATGAGCAGGAGGGACAGAGGCAGGGACAGGAGAGGGACGTGGTTACGGATTGCAGAAGACAGTCGGGGAGCCTTTATTGAGAGCAGAATCTCAAACAAGAACCTGGAAGGGGCCGGCAGCAGACCAGGGGCAACTGTGGGCTGCGATGGCATTACCACGTGGGCCCGGGTGTGGTCTGCATGCTTCCATGCAGTGAGCCTGGGCCACACGGAGCGAATAAATCGGATCAGAGACTTGTGCCTTGCCACACCTGCACGCGGGAGGCTCGCCCTGGCTCTTGTTCCTCCTGCGGCGTTTCTGTGCACTTGGGATCAGGCATGGGAAGACTTCCACCCGGTCTCATGGCCGCTGTAAGCTGCACTGCAGGTATTCCCGGGGCTTGTCTCTCGCCATGTGTATCCCTGCAAAGGGCCAAAAAATGCTTAGGCGAAGTTAAAGCCAAGCTTCCACGCATGCTCCGGCTCGCGGGATGAAGAATGAGCGGGACAGACCTGGGTCGGAGTCGGCCCTGATGCGTCGTGAGCAGGTGAGTCTGCTGCATGTGGGGATGGCTACCTTCCCACAGAAGCGGCAAAGCTAGGACTTCAGCGAAATCTTCGAGGCAGTGAGAACAGCTCTATGTCATGTGATGTCTGTGCAGGCAGCCCTTCGCACCTGTGTGCGACTGGAGCGAGTCTTCTGTTTTAGACAGAAGGGGTGGAGTTCGCCTTTCAGGCCCAGGTGATGAGGCTGCTGGGCAGGCGGAGGTGGAGGAAGCTGGGAGTCAGTGGGCGCCGTGGCCTTGCTGCTGGTCGGCTCACACGGCAGGCAGCGGCTCAGCCGTCCATAGTCCCCGTCCAGGGAGCGGGCGTGGGGCAGCTTTCCCGGTCCACGCTCCTTGTCGAAGAAGCGACTGTCGTCTTGACCAGCAGATGCTGGCCCGGCTGGAGGGGGCCTGGTGGCTGGTGGCCGTCGCCATCTGTCCCAGTCTTGTGTTGCTGAGTGTGTGGGGCCACAGCACGAGAGGCAAGCTCCCAGGTGTCCCCAGTGGTGAAGTGTTGGCGCCCATTAGTCACGCCTGAAAGCCACCTGGATGTTTTCCTCTGCATGGTTTAGGGCAGGCCAGAGTCAGCTGATCAACAGACAGCGTCTTTGCCAAGGGCGCGGGGCCTGGGGGCGGCTCCATCTAAGTCAGCGTGGAGCCCAGTTTTGCTCCAGCTGAGGCTCCATGATAAAGCCTGGAAACCAAGCGGCTTCTGATGTGGGGTAGCATGGGGCGCACTTGCCGATGGCAAAGGATCTGAGGTGTGGGTGTGTCGGGCAGGCACGAGGGACGCGTGTTCAGTAGAACCAGGAGAACTCTGGCCCTCATGTGTGAGTAACGCATGGTCATAGTTACAAGTTTTTTTCACATTTATAATATACATTCCCGACATGAGGACATTCCTGTAAACGGGATATATACATATGCCTATCAGGTAGGATCCTTGCAGTTACAAATAACAAAAAAACTGAAACTCTCTTTACAAACGAAGAGAATCACTTGACTCAGGTCATTGAAAGCATTTGGCTTCGGGACCAGCAGTTAGCGTAATGGCTATATCGCTGGACTCCAGCGTAGTCGACCGCGGTTCCCGTCCCAGACCCGGTGGCTTAAACTCACGCCGGGCGCGTGTGCGTGCCCAAGATCCCGAGAGGAGAATGGAGGAGAAGGGATTGCGGCATGGCCATCCCCCCAGGGGGGTGATTTCTTGCTGTCTGTGTCTCTGTCTCTGTCTGGCGAGCGCATGTGCCCTATAGCGAAAAACCTCTCCAAAAAAAAGAAAGAAAGAAAGAAAACATTTGGCTTCAGGCACAGCTTGATCGGGGCCAGTTCATTTTTCCTCGGGTCTCTGGGCTCTATCCCCCACATGCTGGCTCTCTCTCAGCCCGGCTTCTGTGCCATTTCTTTTGTAAGGAAAAACAACTTCTCCCCTAGGCCAGGTCTCCCTGAACTCATGCTCCTGCTTTCCTTCTGCTTCCTGTGTAAGGGCAGCCCCCAAGCCCCGGGTGTGTACTCCTTGAAGCTGGAAGTTTCTGCTGGAAGGGCCAGTTTCACCGCTTACGTTTAATTACGATGCACGCTGGGCATTTCACGTGTGTGTTCTCATTTCATTCTCAAAACAGCTCTGCAAAGTATAGTCCTCGCTAAGAACAAAGCAGACGAGTTAAGCTGCGTGAGCAGGGACATAGTGGTGAAGGGCCCTGACCTGGACGACACCAGCCTGGTCCACGTCCCCTCACACAGAGCCTTGGTCTTCGTGAGAGGAGTCGATGAAGCTGGAGGAACAGCCCTGGGGTCTGCTGTGCCTCTCCGCCACCTTCTAGTGGTGCTCAGGGCAGAGGCTGGAGCTGTGTGGTCAGCGGAGAGCGGCATGGCTGCCCGTGTGCAGGGCAGAGGCCGGAGCTGCGTGGTCAGCGGAGAGCAGCGTGGCTGCCCGTGTACCAGGAAAAGGCTGGAGCTGCGTGGTCAGCGGAGAGCGGCACTGCCCGTGTGCAGGGCAGAGGCCGGAGCTGCGTGGTCAGCGGAGAGCGGTGTGGCTGCCCGTGTGCAGGGCAGAGGCCAGAGCTGCATGGTCAGTGGAGAGCGGCGTGGCTGCCCGTGTGCAGGGCAGAGGCCGGAGCTGTGTGGTCAGCGGAGAGCAGCGTGGCTATCCATGCCTGGGGCAGAGGCCGCAGCTGCGTGGTCGCTTGCTCAGCTGGGCCGAAGCTGCCGATTGCAGGCACCCTCCAACTTGCCTTGTGACCGAGGGATTGAGACTTCTCATACACCTTGCATGCCTTTTTACGGTTCTCTTTCTTTGGACCCTGGTGCATGCAAGAAATGAGAGAGGTGAGGGAGAGGCCCGTGGAGCTGCAGTGGGGCCAGGGCATACGTGGCCAGCAGAGGGACCTCCCTGGGGAGATTGTCCTTGGTGCAGTCAGTGGCCTCCCTGTGACCCCCAGACTGCAATGCGGGGAATAAAGGGGCTTCAAGGTCCCCATGCACCTCCTCAGGGGAAGACCTGCAGACCCTGGAGAAGCAGGGAGAGGTAAGGCCCTGAAGAGCGTGTGGCCCTTTATTGTTTATATTTAGAGAGGTTTTTACTACAGGGCACTTGAGCTCACCAGAGACAGAGACAGAAAGTGAGAAATCACCCCCCGGGGAGATAGCCACACTGCAATCCCTTCTCCTCCATTCTCCTCTAGGGATTTTGGGCACGCACGCACATGTGCCTGGCGTGAGTTTTAAGCTGCTGGTCCAGTCCAGGACTCGAACCGCAGTTGACTACGTGGGAGTCCAGCGTGTAACCATTACACCATCTGCTGGTCCCCGTGGTGGCCCTTTAAGATGAGGCTTTGGACAAAACCCCAGGCGTTTGCGTTAGGTGCAGGACACAGGAGGCCTGTGCTCACAGGCATGGCACAGTGCTTCTGTGGACTCAGCCCGTTCCCACCCAGGGGTGGGAGTGTGGTCGCTGTCCTGCATCCAGTGGTGGCTCTGAGAACGAGGAAGGCTGGGCTTGTCCCACTCAGACTCCTGCTCTTCCCGGGGACTCGGAGCTGGCCGAGTGAGCAGTAGCTACCGAGTAATGTCTCGTATTAGGGCAAACTGCGTTGCGGGACACTGTCCACGGTTCTGGAGTGTAGGAGGCGGTGACGGAGGACTTGCAGTGTGTCTGGCAAGTGCACCCCCCACACACAGCATGCATTGCACCGTGCAGCGCGAAGCCGCAGTGCTCGGCCACCGAATGACGACACTTCTAAACCCTCAGGGAAGGACTGGTCGCTTTGAATTCTGAGAATGCGAGCTCTGGAGACAGGTCGAGGCGTCTTCGAAGGAAGATGGTCTCCTGGTACCTGTGACCTTGAGGCTGGGCCTTTGATCTCAGTTCCAACCTCCTCCAGTCTGGGTTACAGCAAGAACTGTGGGTCGTCCGATGAAGAGACTTGCCAGTGCTGCTCGTGGAGCCTGAGCAAGAGTGACTGGACTCGACTCTTGACCTCACCTTTCTTCTCCAGGCGCACGTGCATGGTGGGGCCCTCAAGCCAATGGGCCTGGCACTCAGACCACTCCCTTGGCCACGTGGGTCCAGCGCCTTTACCACACCATCAGCTGGCCCTCATCCTAGAACGCCCTCCGTCACAGGTGGTTGGGAGCTGAGCGGTTATTCGCTCTGTTTCTGCAGCAGCTGCGTTTCCAAGTCAGGAACTAGGGATGCCGACTGCCCGGGGCCATAACCAGGGCCCGACAGAAATCCAGCTCGCTGCCCCTCTTCCTCGGTGCTGTCCCCCTGGCTGCCCTGGCGTGCTGGGTGGCACTAAGCGGTGGGCAGGCAGAGGATGAGAAAGGACGGCCGTGGGGACTCCGGCACTGCACCGGGGCACGCCCCAGCTCGCCTCATGCTTCGCCATGGCTTCCGCCTTCCCGCCCGATGGGTGCACGCCCTCACCCGCGGTTCCCTCTACTGCCCTCCCTGGGAGAGTTGCCCAGCCTCGCGTGGGCACAGCACACTTCCCTGACCTGGATCGTTCTGGCTGCCATTGGTTTACACGGGGGTTCTGCGGAGGGGCTGTCTTCAGTGCCGCTTCGGGTCACTCGCTGGTTATCACACAGAACGCGAGGGAGGACGACGCGGACGTGTGCAACACATCCATGTTTGCGTTCACCTCGGCCATAACCACGAAGGCCAGGCGGTTTGCGTTCACCTCGGCCATAACCACGAAGGCCAGGCGGTTTGCATTCACCTCAACCATAACCTGAAATGCCAGGCGGATTGCGTTCACCTCGGCCATAACCACGAAGGCCAGGCGGTTTGCGTTCACCTCAACCATAACCACGAAGGCCAGGCAGTTTGCCGCGTTTGTGTTAAAATAGTGAAATTATAACGTGAAAATGTGGCTCGGGAGAGTTGAAAGGCGTTTTTGCTTTCCTTTTGGTTTTTCTGTTCAACTATGGCTTGACCCACTGTGCAGACTGACCTGGCTGGGCCCGAGGGTGCCCAGATATTTGGTCCACAATTACTCTGGTATGTCTACGAGACTGTTTTGGATGAGCTTAACGTTTAATGGGTGGTTTTTGAGCGAAGCAGATCTCCCTCTGTCGTGGGGCCTCACCAGGTTAGTGTGAGACCTGCAGAGAACAACTCCCTCCCCGCGTAAGGGGGGGCTGGGCAGCAGGCGCGGGGCTCGAGCTGTAGAGGTAGACCTGCAGGTCTTCGGCCCCTCCCTCCCACCTGTCCCTGCAGCCCCAGTTCTGCACCCTGGAGCCGGGTGGACGGGCCACTTGGTGTGAACGCAGTGGCTGTGTCTGCTCCCTGCAGCGCCCGCGTGCGCCCGGCTCTAAGCCGACTGCGCCTGGGCTCTTCTCAGAGTCGAGGAGCGAGAACACGTGCCCTTGTGCAGCCTCCCGCGGCCCCCACTTCCCAGAAGCGGCGAGTGCGCTCAGCCACCCTGTTCCCGCTGTGCGAACAGGCTAGGTGGGGACAGTCCCCCGCGGAGCCCTCCCCGGCCTGTCCCTCAGCTAGG